GTCGATTATAATCGATGATTGGAACACCACTAGCTATAATATATGTAATTGTATTCATGTCATATGGCAGAAGTTTAAAATCTTAATTATCTACCACTACCATTTTTAAAGGTAAAAGAGATGATTGACATTAAGTTGTAAGTTTGACAGCAACTAAATAAATAATGTAAGAAAATGTTATTTATGACTAAAAAATATTGTAACTATATCTTTTAAATTGTTTGCCAAATACAAACTTAAGCAATTTTGAATTCAGTAATTACATATTGTACGTACATGTAGATCTTCATGTACTGTAATATTAAATGTGAGACACGTACCAGATAGTTTACATGAATTATTATATGTACTACATTCTATTTCTAATCAAGAATAGAAAATGATTGTAATCGATGGAAGAAAAGTCACATTTATCCTAATTAAGATTACCTTCCAATTAGAATTTATATATTGTTACGATACAAGCTAAAGTTAACTATCAATGAGGTTAAACAAATAAATCATATTTAAAAGAATTATAAGGGTGAAGAAATGAGATACGTCTATGTACATGATGTAAGAAAAACTTGCTACAACGGTATCACCGTATGTCACGAAAAAGTGCCCTTCTATTGCACCCCTCCATTTTCAGATCCTAGCTGGAACACTGTCTATACAGTACCTTTTCAAGCATAAGTTCCAGTGTGGCTTCATTGCTGGCTTTGGTTGATATTCATTGAATCTTCTTTGTATTTGAAAATCTGGATAAAAAATTGAAGTCATAGGAATCATTTTCCTTTAAGTACCGTATATACTCGCCTATAAGTCGTTTTTTTTGGAGTTGATATCTGGTCCAAAACTGTGTCCGACTTATAGGCGAGCTATTAAAATAATGGTATTATATGAGGTCAGTCCATCTGAAATATAAGCTTATTAAGTAGAACCGACTTATAGGCAGACCGACTTATAGGCGAGTATATAAGGTACATGTATAAGAAGTTCCCTATGTTTTGAATAAATTCTAAGGTTGCAAGCCTTTCTTCTGGTCTATTTAAGAAATAAGGTATCATTTTTTAACATCTATCAGGATATAAATACGGGTTGGTCACGAGATTAAATTCCATAAAGCCCGAAGGGCTTTATGATGAATTTAATTTCGTACCAACCCGTATTTACAGCCCGATAGATGTTTAAAAATGATACCTTAGGCCATATAAAATTGAAATCCTGGTTCTCAGGCCCGCGCGCATCCGTTTTGAGGTAGCCGCATTGCCGATTTTATTGTATTTTTGATAAAATAAAAAGTTGGTATTGCGGAGACCAATCCGGAAAAAAATTTCCGACCTCATTTGTTTTGTAGTTTATTATTCAAATACCACTTCCGGTAGTCATTTGCAATGAGATTTTGGCAACTTCGTTTGAAAATACATTCAAGGACATTTATCTACGATGTTTACATGCTGTTAAGCAATGGATAAAGCAGAAGTTTTGACCAGAAATGGAAAGTATATCTGTGATTAAAAAAATTATCTTTATGTTAAAGAAAATTCGAAAATTAAAATTTAAAAAAATACCTCCTTCATCTACTTTATTGCCAATAAAATGATAAATAAAATGCCGCCCTCCCACATCTGTTTTGGAGAAAATTGGCCTGAGAACCAGAGAATTAAATTTAGATAGCCTTATTACTTATATTTACATTTGTGACTTATTCATACTTTATAGTTGCCTGATTGTGACTTTTAACGTGTGAAATGCATTATTTTTCAAAACCAACGGCATGTATAAAATCCACTGATTGCGCGACGACCCTTTATGACATCACTGAGAAATTACGTCAAACGACTATCCATACGCACATCTATAACCTCTTGACCTATTTATACAGTTATAGATACTCATTACTTTCAGTAGTGTTATATAGAGGAAAACATTTGCAAATGTAAATATTTTGACTTACATTCATTTTCAGAAGGTTAACCAGGGTGAAGTTTTTATCTCTGGCCATGGATTTCTGGATCAGCCTCTCAATCAGCTGCCAATGACGGGCCTTCAGTGACGGGTTCCTGAGAGACGTGATTACTGGCATGCCATGTTTAAACTCTGTTACTTTTTCCTTCAGAATGGGCAGGACCTCATTAGAGGGTAAACCTAACACAGAAATCAGAATACAATGCCATTTTAGATAAATAATCAGTGGGTTCTTTGTTAAGACAGAGTTTCCAATTTCTGACAATCCAATTATTTGGTTCAAAGCAAAAAATTGCTCTGGTATTTTTTTTTTTTTTTTTTTTTATAAAATTAACATCATAATTTTCATAAGTTTCATAATATGAACAAAATTATTATAATTTAGAACATAATCTTAGAAATGGGAATAATAATGTCCACAAAACTCAAAATGTAATCATAAAAACAAATTTTAAAAAATGTATTCACCTTTTTCCAACATATAAACTGTCTGGGTGACTCTATTAACATTTATGTGTAGTAGCTCCACTTGTAGAGAATCAAATGGTGTGGCTGTCCCATTCCTCCTGGAATTGCTATAGCAACTGTCTCAAGGTCAGGTCACGTTCAATGTCAGAAAGGTCAGCCTGAATCTCAGTGGCACTTTGACTGTCATAGTGATCCATTAACATATACTCCCTAGAAAAAAAATTCAATATTTTACATGTATACTGAAGAGTTATAATGAAGGGAAAGTAATTTCTTAATTGACATGAATTGTTTACATCCACTAATTCTTTTTTAATATGAAATTTTTAAAAGCATATAAATAATTATTATTGGTAATATATGTTCTAGTTTTTTAACACCAAAATTATGCATGTATACATGTAATGAATACACTGAAGAAAATGTAAGTTTACAATAAAAGTAAGAATAACATTTTAAAACATGACATAAATAATAAATATTAAAACTAACAAACGCAAGAACTGATGATGAAACAATGCACAAATTTACCATACTTCACGTCTAGAATCAGAAAAATAATTTTGATATTTGCAACAAAGGATCCAATGAAATCTTTGAGTATGCACTGAAAATTGTTTGATTTATAAGATAATCTATCTTTGAAAAAACTGCAGTCAAATTGTTGCAAAAAGGTAGATGTACAACCAAAACCATACTTACTCTCCATACATGCCCCTCTTGGAGTCTTACAGTGAGCTTCCGAATCCCTCTTGATAGCTTGCATAGCTCCTCGCTTTTGTTTACTGAGAGCTCACCTCGCTCTGAATCGAGTCGAGCTTACTCAGAGCAGCCACTACTATATGTCAGTACTGAGGAGATCTGGGTCAAGTACTCGGTTTTTGACCTCCATCAGTTTGGTACGAATCTTATAGATGAGAGTGTCCAAGTCCTGGCTAAATTTACAGATTTTTTTATCTTTCTTGGCTTCTCCTACCAGAATGGCATTCTACAAAATTTTTATATTTGGGATTAGTACTACTTGCACAGTATCGTGCCCCAAAAAGCAATGCGTCTTTTAGCATACAAAATATACAGTAAAACTTTTTTAGTACAAACGCGGACATTGTGAATTCACCTTAGTTATCTTGGATCCCCAGCTAAATAAATTTAATGAATTCCTTATTTGGATGTAACGCACACAGGCACTTGTTTCTGTTATAAATTTTTGACCCATAGTATAATAATAACACAAGGTATCTAACTCGGATTTACAACAAGTATCCACCTCCCTTAGAATTGCGCTCATTTACACTTTCAGAGGAAATGCATGGGTAAACTGTTTTTACCTATGTCTTCTATGATAATTTATCTACACATTATCAGTTTCAAGACTCTGCTCACCGAGTGGAAAGTGAAACTCAGCCATAGAATGGTATGTTCTAGTCTCAGGCAAAGAATTAGACCTCGAATTTGATTGGCTAAAAATCTGTTTCCAAATTGCATCGGAAAAACATTGTAGTGTTTTTATGGAAAATAGGACACTATGAAATTTTGTTTATTCAATGCAATATTTAAAATCTGGGATTGAATTTTTAAACCCAGGCATTCTTTAATTTTTCTCTTTGCCACGAGATTAGCACATACCGTTTTATGGTTTAGTTCGACTTTTCTACTCGACGAGTAGAGATTTGACGCTGTTTATGGAGATTAAAGAAAACAAAGACAAGCAAGTCATATACGGTTGTGTAGATAAATTATCGTAGATGACACAGGTATTCAACAGTTTGCCACTGCCTTTTCTCTGAAAGTGTAAATGAGCGCGATTCTAAGGGAGGGGGGTACTCCGTGCAATTTGGAGTTAGATACCTTGTGTTATTATTATACTATAGGTTAAAATTTATTCCCGAAACAAGTGCCTGTGATAATGAATTACGGATATAGCGAAGTAATTTCAGAGGTTCCGGCGACTTTGTTATAGCCAAGTTTTACTGTACTTGTTTACAGATTTCAATCATACACCATTTTCGTCAAGAATAAAAAAAATGACAAATTGATTCTTTCTTTCAACAAAGATATTGTTCACAACATCTAATTTTAATAAAAACATTATTGGATACTTGATGAGTATTTTTCATTTTTTCCCCATCACCAATCAGTTTATATAATTGGCTTTTCCGGACAGAAAGCAAGTCTAACTCTCTTACTTTCAGCCCCGGAAACTTGGACCCAGTGTCTGGTGTAAGGCCAGGTCTTCTGGTTCAATCTTTACAAAGAAATCCTTGGCAATGGTGAACAACTTTTTTCACAATCAGGAACTCCTTATCAAGAGCTGTGATTTCAGACATCATCTTAGACAGGAAAGACAAATGTTCCACAAATTCTTCCACAGATTTAGAATAGTCCTCCAGTTTTTTTGCTGCACCCTGATAAAAGACATTTCCAAATAATTTAAAAACACTAAATTTCATGTTTTTTTGTGGAGGGGGGGATATTTCCAAATCCTTACCAAATAAAGAATTTCTGAAATTTAGTTGCAAATTCAATCAAATTCTTTTTAAAAATCTAAGAATTGTTTCCTTTTCCTCATTGAATACCTTGATAATAGTAAGCAGATCTTCGTTTCATTTGATGGCTATAATGGGCAGCTTATGGTGGGTCTTGCTGATGATCTCCTGGGGGTAGGGGAGACAGGAGTCCCTGAAGCTAGAGCTTATCACCAGAACCATCGCACATCTCCTCTTCACAGTCATCTTCCGCATCTCCTTTACCTACAGACGTTAAAAGAAAGCTGTTACTTCTACAAATTTAGACTTAAGATTTGAAAAAAAAGTGCTTCTGCCCAAAAAATGCAAAATACAAGGGCACCGCTGAGCGGAGCATCCCCTCGCCTAATGGCAACATCTCACAAGAGATAAATTCTCCAGAGGGACGTTAAACATGTTAAAGATTGATAGTACAATGTATTTTGTTTATTGTCCCTCTCAGGAATTTTTTGCTCATATGAAGGCTTGCCGGTGGAGAGCTGCACATTCTTTCCTATAATAGGGACTTACGACCATTGAGCAGTGAGGGATCTTTTTGTGCCAGCATTTGTTGGGACATGGGCCTTTAGTTACACGGATTTATTCGAAGGACCAGTCTCCATGTCCCACGAAGGGATTCAAACCCACAACATTAGGACCAACTCCCCTACTTTTGACAAAATTATTAGTGGGTGTGTTGTTGTTGATCCATTTTTACAAAATGCAAAGTGGTTAAGGGGGGGGGGGAGCCATAACATAGATACTTTTAAGCTTTCAAACTGGTTCTTAAATTGGTTCCCTTGCAGAAATGATTATTGTCAACTCGTACATAAAATGTCAGGGTTTCGAGACAGTGAAACGCGATATCTGAAGAAATAATTTAACAATGAACTTGAAAATGAATAGGCTTCATCTTTTTATATTTTCACACAAGTTTGTAAACGCTGAGCGTGGTTAATGCAAAGGTTTTCTGTTAATCTTGCCCACAAAGTGTAACGAACACACTAACACACACACACACACATACGCACATTTGCGATGCTATATCCCCTCCGCAACTATTTGCATGAGGGGATAATATCATTCTATGACTGAGATTACCAGCTTAGCAACAAAACATAAAATTATTAATGCATCATAATTCTGAAAATATTTTAAAAATTCTTCTCATGATAAACAGATATTATGCAGAAAGCAGGTCTGACCATTTCTGTGAAGGTTGGTAGAACATGATTGAATTCTTCTGTGGACCACTCATGTCTGGCCATGGATTCATCAATGTCCAAGGCTTTACTCTTGTCCACCACTTCACAGTACTGATCAAAGTTCTGTTGGAGGAAATCATATATTGACATAAAATTATCTAAGGATACTTATGTAGATAAAGAATATAAATTTGAAACAATGTATTTTTCAAAATCTGCATAACATTTTCCCAATTTCTCCAGTTCCATCAATGTTATATTAATTTTGAAATGATTAAACCTTATTCTCAAGTCAATCTTAATAAAACCACATTCCAGTCATTTTGTATATCAAACTTACATGAGAGAACTGTTTAACTTGCTCCAGCTGCATTGCCATGTATGAGCCAAGGTCAGTCAGATATTTTTGGTATTCTGGGTCATCACCAAACAGATTTTCAAGGTCAGGCCAAGGTCGCTGGTATTCCATTCGGTCTTTTTCTTCTTCCTGGTCAAATTTCAATCTAAGGTCATGGGAAGGTGGGGAATAAATTTTGGCTCTCTTAACTTGGACACAACTTGATCTAAAATGAAAGGAATAATATTGGCTCATCATGTATAGAAAAGGAAAAAATTGGTTTTCTTGGTGTCTTTGAGATAAATATTAAACTTTTAGTATTTTATCAAGGTTATGAATTTGTAGGCCCATTTATACCCCCCCCCCCAACTCAAAAAGTGATTTCACAGTAACTGCAGTATTTATATAAAAGGCATGCACAACTTTCCTTGGGGAAGTAAATTTACATTGAGTATAACTATTACAGGCCGCTGTTTACCTTTTCTCCTGCTCTGGGTAGGCGTACTCCTCACCAGGAGTTCTGTCCTCATCCTCTGACTCCTCAGTCTCAGAGCTGTCCCTCCTGTGGTCCTGCTCCTCACCCGAGTCCTCAGAATCACTCTCCTCAGACTCTGACTCTACAAAGTCAAACTTTACTGGATAAAATCACAATTAAGTCTTGAACATGGATATCTCAGTACTATGGATAGGTTAAAGGAGTTAAATACCCAACAAATTTTTCGATAGGTATTTCAACCTTGATAGCTTGAGTCCTGGCATATATTGAAGTTTTTGTCTTGACCCCATTAAGTTTGGTCTGAGATAACACGAATTGCCTGCATTTTGCAAGTTACCCTTAAATTGTTCATAAATTGCTTAAAATCCTAGTTTCCTTGTAATATTTAAAGGATACATTTTCAAGACATTAATAAAATGTTTTCTGAAACTGAAACTCAGAAAAATATTTCCATTCTAACCTGAAGTCTCATGAATATCTTGAAACTGGACAGTTTTTCTAGTGGAAGCAGAGTCTGTTAACTTGTCTGGAGAGTAGGACTTTCCTTGTCTGTGTTTCTTTCTCTCCTCTTTCTGGGGTTTTTCGTCCCCGGGACATTTAGCACCGCTGTATGCTACAGACTGAGGCTATTATTTCCTCTACCACGTCCTTCTGCCTGATTTCCTCCGACAACTGTTAGAGAAATGGGTGTCATCATGAAATAATTAAGCGATTGAAAGGAAATTGACACTTTACTTCTAGATTTAAGGACCCTCCCCCTTTACTTTTGTTTTGATATCACTTGACTTAGCAAACATTCCAAAACATTTTAACAACTATTCACAATTCCATAAATTATATTCTAGTATTTCATTCTCTCATTCACTAACACGGAATTTATTTTAAACATTGCAAGGACTAAATTAAATAATCAACCCATTAAAAATGATACAACCATTTACCATAGATAATGATTTGTTTAATCTTTACATCTGCATGAGCATTAAAGGCCAAATATGATTGAGATATAACACTGAATGTTATAATTACAAAATAAAGCTTACCTCATCTACATCCGGTGGTCCCTCTACAATTTCTGATTGATCAAAGTCAAAATACGGGATCTTGTAGGGGGTGTCTGCCTTGGGTGGGGGCGGGACCTTAGGTTTACTGCTGGTTTGACTGTGACTTGCCGCAGTCATATGCCTGAAAAGAATATTTCTTACAATTAAAGCAAATTTCTATTGTGGCCTCTTTTTCAATTTTCTCCCAAAACATCTCAAATTTTGGTTAGGGTAATAATCTGACTTGTCCTCATTATTTTTCAAGTGGTGGTATCTCCATTTGAATGAAAAATTTCTTGGAGGAAGTTTAACAACAAACAAACAAATGACATAACAAGAGGCCCAAGGGCCTTGAATCGCTCTTCTGATAAATTGTACAATCTATCACTTCTATTAGAAGCCTCCAACTCTATTAGTATCATAAGACCCGAAATGCATTAACTTACAAAGTTTGATAATATTTAGCCAGTTAAGACTGAAGATATTATAATATAATTATAAAATACCATAAGTAGGTCACAGTGACCTACCTTTTGATTGAAATTTTCTGAGAACTCAAGATACAGTAATTGACAAAGACTGATGATTCTAATTAAATAAGTACCTGAGATATTCAAAAGTAGGTCACCATGACCTACTTTTTGGTCAACATTCTCTGAAAAACCAAGATGCATCATCTGACAAAGTTTGACGATTCTAAGCCAATTAGTACCAGAGATAATTAAATATAGCCATCAAATGTCAAAAGTAGGTCAGTGACCTACTTTTTGGTCTACATTATCCAAAACCCAAGATGCCTAAACTGACAAAATTTGATGATTCTAAGCCAATAAGTACCTGAGATATTCAAAAGTAGGTCACTGTGGCATTCAATGAAACCCTAAGATGCCTCACGCAGCTATGATAAGGCTGCCCGTAAAGTATCGAACTGTTCAAACTGTAGTAACTTCTCTGAACTACCTAGATATGACGTCATAATAGAATATGACGTCAAGTCACTGCATACTTGAGCTACAATAACGGGGAAAGTGTCATAATTTTTATATAGCATGTAGATTTATTTTTGGGACTTATTGTTTAATTCAAGTGTTAGGATTGATTTTTAAGCTCGAGTGTGCGGATATGATGTTGAATATATGAAATCTAAATATGCCTATTCCTTTTGCTTGTCTGATATGCACATAATTAATTAATAGCGAAAAATTATGTGTGAAATGCTCCCCTTATACATCCGTAGACAGAGTTAGAATTTATGAATCGTGTTTATATTGGACTGGCACAAGTGATAAACAAGGACAAATTGAAGATATTCTGTTTGAATCTACAAGAGATTTTTGTACTCTAACTGAATTTTGCTGGGGGATTGTGTGTAGTTTTTCCATTTTTGTATAAATTGCGATAAAGAGTGGAAAATGCCCCTTCTTATGTAGGTAAGTTGAATTTCTCATAAAATATTTTCTTAACGAGTAAAAATTTAACCTGCCCCCTGCACTTTCTATGTCCCAGAGATCACGATGAATTGATCTATGTAACAAACTTTGCATAATATTTTCTCACATAATATTGCATAATATTTTTCACTTGTGCCGAAGCGGTTTTTGTGAAAGAATTAGGAATATCATAAATCTATGTCACGTGATCAACATAGTCATGTGACATCACAAAAATGCTTGAAAGTAAAACATGTTTCAACTATTATCTCAGGTTGACTGTAATTAAAAACAAGGAATATATATTAAAATTTAATTCTAGCTCAAAATAAAATATATATTTTTTAGGCATTTTAAACCTTCGGACAGCCTTATCATAACTGCGCAACTGACAAAGTTTGATGATTCCAAGCCAATAAGTACCAGATATAATTAAATATAGCCATAAAATGTCAAAAGTAGAGCACAGTGACCTACTTTTTGGTCGACGTTTTCGAAAAACCCAAGGTGCCTAAACTGACAAAGTTTGATGATTCTAAGCTAATACGTACCTGAGATATTCAAAAGTAGGTCACCGTGACCTATTTTTTGGTCAACATTCTCCTAAAACCCAAGATGCCTCAACTGACAAAGTTTGATGATTCTTAGCCAATAAGTGCCTGAGATATTTAAAGTCGCTTGGTCCGATTCTAATCGCTAAAAATATATATTCGTTTTTCTTCTTGAAAAATAATTGTCCATAAATTGTTTAAACTTTCGTCAAATTATATCCCCAAAGTCTTTTTCTTTTCAAAGATATCAAAATTCAAAAGTTAAAAAAATAATTTTTGTTAGGTCACACAAAAAATAATCCTATGTTGATCATTGTTGATATCGCTGAAATCACCTTCGAAAAATTAAATTTATCGCTTACATGTTTATCTCATGAAGAACGAACCCGATCATTTTTTTTTTCACAACAAAGCTAAGTCCACATATATTACCTGTACACGGACAATATTTTAGCTCCTTTAAAAAATCATTTAAAATGTCTGATTTTCCTTTATTCTTTAAATATGCATATGAATATAAAAATTACTATGGATTATATTCAATTAATTTCTCATAAAATTATAAAAGAATTATGACTAAGGCTTCTACTAATAGAAAAAATCTATGAACCCAAGGGCCAATATCGCTCACATGACAAGCTTTTTCACCATTCTGTTTTTTACCAGATTTCCCCCTTGTTAACATAATGCATCCCCACCCTACCCCACTGATCATAATTTAGACATTTTGTAATCTACCCCATGATCCTTCCATGGGCACATATATTTCAATTTTTTGGCCCAGTGGTTCCTATATATTTTTTAAGATTTTCAATGAGGCTAGGGGGTGGCAGCCATTTTTAGACTATTTCAATCTCCTTTTAAAATAAGTACCATATATAAGAGATACAAATATGATAAAATTTTAAAACTAACATATATGAATTTTTTCTTTGCCAAATGATAAAGTTTGATGATTCTAAATAATACGTACCTAAATAAAAAAAGTAGGTCACCGTGACCTATTTTTTGGTTAATTCTCCTAAAACCCAAGATGCCTCAACTGATTAAATTTGTTCTTACCCAATAAGTGCCTGAGCCTCCTTGGTCCGATTCTAAAAAAATATATATTCGTTATATATTTCTATGTAAAACTTTGAAAAATAATTGTCCATAAATTGTTTAAACTTTCGTCAAATTATACACTACCCAAAGTCTGCTTTTCCAAATAAGCTTCATTTTTCAAAAGTTAAGAAAAATTTAATTTCAAAGACTTTTCCAAAATATTTCTATGTAAAACTTTGATATCGCGTGAAATCATGATTTGAACAAATTAGAATTTATCACTACATGCTTCCACATAAGAACAACCCGATTTTTTTTTTCTTGACAACAAAGCTAAGTCCAATATATTACCTGTAGACAATATTTTCCTATATATTTCTATGGATAAAACTTTGAATCACCCATAGTCCATGGCCCCGCCCTTCCCCCGGCATGATTCTACTACAATTTAGAATTTACTACTAACACGTGGGTCAGGGAAATGCTTCCACATAAGCAGGAAAGTCAGCTTTTTTTTGAAATGTGTTTATGCCCAGTGGTTCTTAAAGAAGATTTAATCCAAAGACATTTTCCTATATATTTCTATGTAAAACTTTGATACTTTGAAATACCCCGCCCTTCCCCCGGGGGTCATAATTTGAACAATTTAGAATCTCATATTCGTTACCAGGAACTGCTTCCAAATAAGTTTCAGCTTTTCTGGCCCAGTGGTTCTTTTATAAAAGATTTCACAAAAAACACTTATATATTTCTATGTAAAACTTTGAATTTACCTGTCATATGGCCCCATTTCCCCCGGGGGTCATATTGAACAATTTAGAATCTACACTACACCAGGATGCTTCCAAGTAAGTTTAAACAATGTTTTCTGGCCCAGTGGTTCTTGAGGAAGATTTTCCAAGGATTTTTCCTATATATTTCTATATAAAACTTTGATTCCCTGATTGTGGCCCCGCCCTTCCCCCGGGGGTCATTTGTAACAATTTAGAATCTACATTATTTAATCAGTATGCTTCCACATAAGTTTGTAGTAAATTCTGGCCCAGTGGTTCTTGAGAAGAAGATTTTAGCAAAGTGTTTTTCCTATATATTTCTATATAAAACTTTGATTTTTCCACACGTTGGTGGTAGCCCATAATGCAACTATTGAGCTTTTTGGTCGTTTTTGAACAATTTATTTCATGTAAATTTATTCCCCATTACACCAGAAATGCTTCCACAAAAAATCATTTAAAATGTTCTGTTTTCAGCTTTTCTGGCCCAGTATAAAAATTCTTGAGAAGAAGATTTTCAAAAGATTTTTCCTGTATATTTCTATGTAAAACTTTGATTCCCCATTGTGGCCCAACCCTTCCCCCAGGAACTCATTATTTGAACAATTTAGAATCTACATTATTCCAGGATGCTTCCACATAAGTTTCAGCTTTTCTGGCCCAGTATTTCTTGAGAAGAAGATTTTCAAAGATTTTTCCTATATATTTCTATGTAAAACTTTGATACCCCATTGTGGCCCCGCCCTTGCCCCTGACAAAGTTTGATGATTTTAGGTGAATAATTTAGAATCTTACATTATAGCCAGGAAATGTTCCAAAGTAAGTTTCATGACTACTTTCTGGCCCAGTGGTTCTTGAGCAAACTCACAAAGTTTTCATGATTTTTCCTATATATTTCTATATAAAACTTTGATTCCCCATTGTGGCCCCGCCCTTCCCCCGGGGGTCATGATTTGAACAATTTAGAATCTACAAACCCCAATATGCTTCCAGATAAGTTTCAATTTACTGGCCCAGTGGTTCTTGAAAAAAGATTTTCATTTTTTCTTTATGAATGAAACGGAGGTCTATAAATGAAACAACCCTATTTTTGTCTTTTTCTTTTTATTTTTATCTCCCCTTGCATTAAAAAAATATATTGAGTCATTCTGAAAAGATTGTTGAAAAAGAAACCATTTTTGTAATCAAATTTATCTTGATATATCAAATGCATTTTTTAACAATTGAAATTCCCCCTATACCCAAGGATGTTTTGTACCAAGTTTTAAAATTGGCCCAGTGGTTCTTGAGAAGAAGTCGAAAATTGTGAAAAGTTTATTCAGACGGAAGATTTGATAACA